GAAAAGAAGAGGAAAAGGTAGGGAGTGGATCAAGAAGTGATTCAGGTGAATGGGGATGAAGAAAGGACATTCAAAAAAAGATGAGAAAATTAATTATAATATTATATTATAATTTATTTATACTATAATACATATTATAGCTTGAATATAATTATTATAAATATATAATTATAATGTTGTACTAATTTCCCTGAATCTAAATATTATAAATTACAACATTAAAAAATATTTAAAACTATAATATATGAGAATATGGATTGAAATTAGCTTAGGTGAGTAAGTAGCATTTCGTCGAAGTGAGTAAATGCCTATCGAGGCCAATAAGGCAAGCCCTCACCTAGGCGAGTTGAGTTATAGGCCGGGGTGAGTGGTTCTGCAAGTCAAGGTGAGTAAGCAGAGATCGAGACAGGGAAGCTTGATGTATGTGATTTACGTATGTTAAATGATTTTAAATGGTTGCTAAACTTTTATGAAATCCAAGGTACTGAAAAACCAGACCGATCATTGAACCAATTAAGACACTAATTTAAGGGTTAGTGGTTCAATGGGGGTTAAATCGAAGTCAAACCGGTCATAATTAAAATAATAAAATTTAAATAAAAAATATTAATTATTAAAATATTTATCCATATTTAAGAGTATGTCATACAAGTACAACAATAATTTTAATAATAATAAAATACTCTAATTAAAAAAAATAAAAAGTTTAAAACTAATGGAACAATATTTAAAAAAAATACAAGGGTTAAAATTTCATGGTTAAAAAAGGTTTCTACGCTAGAGCAAGGGGAAGATCAAGAAATCATCTAAAATTAAAGCTTTTCCTATTCTCTATTAATTTCACTTCTACCCCTCTACAAAAGAGTCTTTAGGTCTGTCGTCTGTCGCACTTCACTCCTACTCTCCCATTACCTCTATGCTATGTCGCTATCTTCTCTCTTCATTCATCGTTCACCTTCATCGTGAATTCAAAATTCCACATTTCCACTCTGAGCTATTGCCATGGTCCAAAGCTGCTAGCTTTAGCCATAACTATGGTGAGACGAGCGACGGCGAAGTGGAGTTCAACTTCAAGCGATCCCCACAGTGAGAAGAGATAGGTTGATGGTGAGGATTTTCTAGAGAGGCAGAGACAGAGTTCTTTCGGCCGCTAGGGATTTCGTGATTTGAATTTGAAGCAAACAAAGTCTATATGAGACTGTGATTTTTCATGTTTTTTTCATTTGATTTCTAATTTTTGAATATATTTTAAAAAAAGCTCAAAATGACCTTATTCTGAACTTTTTTTTAGAGTAACCCAGTTAACTCGTCCAACCCATTGGGTTAGTCAGGCTATACCAGGTTATCCCGGGTCAATCCCAGGTTGACCAAGTCACCTTTGAAATGATTTAGATGGAAAACCGGATCGGTGAAAAGGTCGGTTCACTAATTTGTCGGTTGAATCGGCCGGTCTGATCCGATTTTCCATTCCATGATGAAATCTAATTATCTTATTTTAAGAAATATGTACCCTTAAAGCTAGCTTGCTCTTCTTTAAATATTGATATATATATATATATATATATATATGATAATTAAGGATAGTGACTAAATTCATCACACATGTATCCACCATTGTTGAGATTTTTGTCATCAATGTGAGCGTGTTTACTTTTTCCTACTTCATATTGGTTGATTTAGGTTGTTGATTTTTTTTTTTTGTTTTGTTTGCTCTTAATCTGTTGGGTTCTTAACTTGTGTTCTTTACTTGCTTTCTTTCTACTCCTTATCTCTCTCACTGATGGTCAAGGTAAGAAGATTTATTGTTTTTTGGTGTTGAAATTAGGTTTGATTTTGTGATTTTAGTGTTCTTTTTTAAACATTAGTTGATGAAAAAGAAGAAGCAGATGAAGATGCACTGTTCTTTTAATTTTTTATTAATAAGTTTTCCACCTCAGCGTGCCCCATGTATGTTCATGAATCCAATGAACTTTTTTACCTATCAACTGTGACACCTTGAAAAATTTTAACTTATTTTTTAATCATCAATAAATAATAACAAGCTAAATTCAACATACAATACATTTTTTGTTCCATAAAATTGTGCCCAAAAATATCAAAAAATTACAAACTTGGTTTTAAAATAATCATCACTCTATGACCATATGATATGTCTCTCATCTTAAATAATTATTTAAATATTAATAAATTAACTTATATTTTTATATTAAATGAAAATATACTAATAAAAATTTAAGATTTAATTTATAAGTCTCAAATTAAAATTTGATCAATAAAATAATATTTTATAATATTTATTATATTATTAACAATGTAACTGAAAAAGAAGGAGACGACAACGACGAGAAGCGTTGGTGGGAAATGAGGAACGTTGTGGGTCATGGGTGTTGAGTTTTTTTTTTAATAAAAGGGTTGGCACCCAATCATTTTTCTTCTCTTTTTTTTTTTTTTCACCCCTGCTACCGCAATTCATTGTTTCCACTTTCCCTTATTTATTATTATTATTATCATTATTTGATTAATTTTTTAATTATTTTTCATACTTTCCTTTATATCACTTACTTTTATTCTTTTGAATATTTATCTTAAAAAATATTTTATTCCTCCTCCATGATTATTTAGTATTGACTTAAAAATTATATTTTAGTTTAAAATAAAACTATACTTGTATAATTTTACTTAAACATAATTTCTAGCAATCATTTCCATCCCCCCCCCCCAACTATAGGCATCTAATGAATTTAACTATCCTTAAATATTCTCTAAATTTTTATCAATTTCAATTGACTTTTAAAATTAAAATTAGAATGTAATGTCAACTAACTTTAGATTTAACGCCAGGGTGAGATTGTGCCGTTTTAGACAGTCCCAAGGCAACATTATTCTTAACAAAATTTAAAATGTTAGGTACTTTTGGAAGAAAAATTCTAAGATGTTTTTACTTTTTTACCTTAATTTTTACCCTTATTAATCTAAAACAAGCCAATTTATATAATTATTTAATTTCATAAATTACGGTGACTAAATTATTTAGATTCAAATTTCAAGGAATGAATTGATAATTAAAAGAAAATTCAGAAAAGGTGAAAAAGATATATTTTATTTTGGTTTTTTTTTTGAATTGTATTTTCTTTTGAATTCTTTATGAAGGCTTGTACAAATTTAATCCAAGAGACACTTTATACTAGAGTAACATGCTGGTACAAAAAAAAAAATCTAAAATAGCATATTTCAGTTGAGTTTTTTTAGTGAAAATTAAGTTCTAAAATATTAAATTAATAATAGTTAGGCCTTGGACAAGTTTTTTAAATAAATTAAAATATAAATCTAGGTAATTATACATTCAAAAATTTTAATTTTAAATAGTGAGTATTCAAATATCAAATATAATTTTTACTCCCTTTCTTAAAAAATGTAAGGCATTTTTTAGATGTTAAAAAATATAAAACATTTTTAATTTTTTGAGGTATAATCATTGCTTTTTTTTTTTAAAATATCTCTATTGATAATGACTTTATATTTATTGTAGGGTAGTTAATAGGAATAAATATAAAAAGATAGGGTTAGTATGAAGGTAGGTAACTATTTTATTAAGGGTTAGATTTAATTAAAAATATCTTACATTTTTTAACAGAGGGAGGGAGTAACTTTTAACATGAATTTCTGTTTATAACTGTTTGAAGTAATATTTAAAATTTATTTTTTTAGACAAATTTTGTCGGGAACCTAATTATTGTTAGTTTAATTTTTTTTAAAAATTAACTGTCATTTTTTTTACGTGAACATTATCAGGGCTTTCCAGAACATTAACTTGACAAACAATAACCCACCAACTATAAAGTCGTTAATTGTTAATTGTAAAACTTAATGCAATGTCATCGAAACGTGGTTGAATTAAAATAAGAAAAGAAAGCCCCGACAATGATAAATGAAGCAAGTGAATTAATAGAAGATACGTGGTGGGACGAGACGAGATCAAAGTTTGATGCCAATACCGAGAAAGTGGACGGAATGGGCTGGTCCTTTTTGTAAGGGGGAATTATGTTGGTGAATTTTATAATAATTAATTATTTTTTGTAAGATCTAATTATGATCTTCTCTTTTTGTAATTCTTTTATATACACACATACAGTCCTTTATATTTTTAATTATCTCGAATTAAAAGTTTAATTATCTTGAACCATAGTTGGCGAAAAAAAAAAATATATATATATATATATATCTTGAATCTCAGGTGTTCTACTTTCAAACTACAATAAAAACAATATCTCGATTTTATTAAGAGTTTAACTATACATCTAATTCAATACTTCTGCTCATATAAGTTTTTTAAACAATGAATGTTTTCTCTTTCATATGATGATTTTTTTTGTTAACAGATATTTTTTTATGAAAAGTAATTTTATTCAAGGCACATTAGATATACGAACATCTTTTTTTTTTCATAAAAATTTAAAATTTAGTTAATATATTTTGAAATATTAGTTCTTTTTACTATATCCAACGTTATATAATTTTTTTTTGACCTCTCACATATGATATGATGATTGAAAACCTACTTTCATGAAAGATATTTTAATATGTATACTGCTGAATATATTATCAGATGATCAAACATAAACGTTGACTTTTTTGTCAGGTCAGTGACAAAAAAATTTTAAAAAAATTAATTAATTTAACGTGATTGAAAAATAAAAAAATTTATTTTTTATTAAAATTTAAAATATAAGTTATAAATTTATCAAAATAAAATTATAAAATTAAAAAATTGAATTATAAATTTTTAAAATTTAATATTTAAAACTTAATTTAAATTAATTCTCTTTTTTCTTTATATATGCACAAACACACATGTTACATGTTGAATGCTCCTGTACTTCATTAATCGAACCATATTTTTATTTTACATTTTTTTTTTAATTGGGATGTTCCAAACTGGCCCGAGAATTATGACTACGAGGATGAAGAGGACACCTCAGCACATCACTAATGATATTAACGGCGAAGGCAGTGACTCGTGAAAAGCGTTTCAGGTTCTCCGATGACATCCATTCCTGTGATTCTGTTCCTCTGTGTTCTCGCTTCTCTCTTTCTGAGGAGCCTCGAAGAGTGACATCAACACCCACACACGAAATATAATATACCAAGTCTCACTAGAATGAGAGCCGATTAATTTATGTCAGTCCACTTTCCGAGATCTTGTTCTGTGTCGCCATCCTTGTTCTCTAGTCCAAAAGTTCAACCCTTTATGTAATCTAGTATTGCAATTTCATTGGATGCTCTTCTTCTGATCGTCGGGAACAGCAGGTGATCGAGTTGAATTGATTAGGTTTTATCCAATGGGAGATAAGCACGAAGAGAATCGGACTGAGAGCAGCGATTTCACTTCAGAGGATGAAGGCACCGAGGACTATCGACGGGGAGGTTACCACGCTGTGCGAATCGGCGATACCTTCAAGAATGGTCGCTATGTTGTTCAGAGCAAGCTCGGCTGGGGGCATTTCTCCACCGTCTGGCTCGCCTGGGACATCCAACTTTCTGTACAATTCTTTTTCTTCTCAATATACAGTTTTTGTCTCATGGCCACGAATCTCTTTCATTTCATTTCATTTTTTATTTCTCGTTTCGTAGCTGGGAAAATTACTACTTTTTCTTGCAAGAAATTTTTTCTTGAAATTTCTTGATCACCGGTACTTTTGCCCCAAATCCCTGTTTGACTTTGCAGGCTGCCGCTTTTTTGTGATAGAATATACCATAACTGTTTTATCGGATAAGGCGTGATAACTATGGGAGAGAAGCTATAAGTTATAATTTATGCTCTCTGAGGCTTGTTGAACTAATATGTCTGGAATATCGAACGCAAGGGGCTAATGAACTAAACTGGCTGTATTTCTTATAGGCATCGCTAATGGTTTACCTTTTTTTTTTTTTTTTTAATAACATCATTCATGAGCGTTCTTTCGTTTGGAGATTTGCAGAGATACGTGGCTCTGAAAGTTCAAAAGAGCGCTCAGCATTACACGGAGGCTGCCATGGACGAGATAACCATTTTACAACAGATTGCAGATGGAGACCCAGAAGATAAGAAGTGTGTGGTGAAGCTTTTGGATCATTTCAAGCATTCAGGTCCCAATGGACAACATGTTTGTATGGTATTTGAATACCTTGGGGATAATCTTTTAACTCTTATCAAGTATACTGATTACCGAGGATTGCCAATGAACATGGTTAGAGAGATATGCTTTCATATTTTGGTTGGATTGGATTACTTACATAAGCAGCTTTCTATAATACATACTGACTTGAAGCCTGAGAACATCCTCTTGTTATCAATGATAGATCCATCCAAGGATCCTAGAAAGTCTGGTGCTCCCTTAATTCTACCAAATGCTAAAGATAAAACAGCACTTGAATCGGTGATTGGGAAAGAAATGAAAGCATTAAATGGGGATTTAATACAGAATCATAAGAAAAAGATTAAAAGAAAAGCTAAGAAGGCGGCTCAGGGATGTGTAGAGAAGGAAGCTTCTGAGGAAGTTGAGGGGGATCCTGAAACATCTGGTGCTGTAGAATCATCTGCCAATGCAATATTAAATGCAGGTTCCGCAGGAGAACAACCTTCTAGTCCTGCAGGCACCAAGAGGTTATCAGATGATGACGGGACCAAGGTAACCTGGTCAAAAAACCAGGGTAACAAAAGAGGAAGCCGTTCATTGAGGCAGAAGTTACTGAAATCGGTTGACCTTAACTGCAAATTAGTTGACTTTGGCAATGCTTGTTGGACATATAAGCAGTTTACAAATGATATTCAGACAAGACAATATAGGTGCCCAGAGGTGATCCTTGGATCAAAGTATTCTACGTCAGCAGATCTTTGGTCCTTTGCTTGCATTTGTTTTGAGCTTGCAACTGGTGATGTACTATTTGATCCTCATAGTGGTGACAATTTTGATAGAGATGAGGTACGTATCTACCCTTTCCATATATGCATGTGTGCATGCGTTGTATTTGTTCATCTTGACTTTGCAGTGGCAAACGAGTGTTTTCTTTTCGTTTTTGAAAATGCCTCCTTTTGTTGGTATATGAAGATATGCTGCAGCATCAGTAATTGTGGACTATTGATAATAGCTTACTTGCAAAAGCTTTTAATTGCAGATATGCTACACTTAGGCAAAGATAATAGTAAGATGGTGTGTGATGGTATTTAAAGATTTACATTTAAAAATTCCTAAAGATGTGTGACACGACAATAGATTGGGGTTAGAAATTCCTGGGTTTGAGTTTGTCATTGGATTGGTGCGGGGGAAAAAAAAACAATATTGGGGCTTGAAATTTTCTGAGGCAATGAAGATGTGGCTTGCTAGTATGGCAATTTTGGGCCTTATTATTTGTAAGGCTAAGCATAATAATTGGGGACGCTGAAAAAAGTTGTTTAAATTGTTTTCATTTTACTTATGTATGTATGTATGTATTATGTCAGGCTTTAATTATCCTTCTGGCTGCTATTTTATTTTATATTTTTACTTACCTTTGAGCTTTATGCAACGCCCTTAGTAATTGTACTACGGTTAGCTTAGCTTTGGATTGACCTGTGAATGAAAGATCTGATTCTCTCTTGGCTTTCTAGCCTAACCCCCACATTGAATCAATCTTGGAAGGTTCTACTGCTGTTGATATGGTCCAGATGTTGGCTGATCCCCCCTCCCCCCCTCCCCGGGGGGGCGGGCAGAGAAAGAATCTAATAAGCAGAGAAAAGAGTTGCATTAATAGAGGTTTATGAAATTTTCTAGGGGGAGAAAAGGAAATAAACTTGATTACTTTTATGTGGAACAATGAAGTATGAAATGCAAATAAAAATGTGATGGAGACTGTTTCAGAGCTTCTTAGCAGTTCCAGAACTGGATGTCTTTTTTAAGTTGATGTTACCTTTCACAGATGTTTTTTGTTTTTGTTTTAAGTGAATTTTATAGCTAGGACAGTGAGATTTATCTTTTGACAGAGCATATTTCGAACTGTGTTAAACTGATTTACTAGCATGTGTTTTCAGCCAGCCAATGAGTTTAGGAACTTCACCAGAGTTAAAAATGTTTTAAAACTCAACCTGATTCAAATTAGCTTGAAAATTGAATTTGTAAATTTAGAAATGTATTCTCTCTGAAAAATTGTGAAAGGTTGATAAAATAATATTGCCGGTCTTTTTTTCTTTTTCTTTCTTTCTTTCTTTTCTTTTCTTTTCTTTTTTTCTTTCTTTTTTTTTTTTGCGGAGTTGGGACTGATGCTGAATTAGACGTCACTATTTCTGAGAGGAGTGATCGAACATAATTAACACATGATTGGAGTACTTCAAAACTTTTAGTGTTTGGATGATCCAGCAGGAAGAATTGAAAGGTTTAACAAATTAAGAAACAGCTTTGGAAACTGTTGTATTCTTTTATGGAGTTTTCTCTTATATGATTGCAAAAGCAGACTTTATTGGAACATTTATGATGCTATATTTTATATTTGGTCTAGATTTGTTTTTACTGACAATATGATATGATATATTTGTCCCGCTGTTGACTTGGAGACCCTTTGGTATTCTGTGTTTTTCTTGCCATCTTGAATCTTTCCCTTGTAGTTGATATAGCAAGAATCATTGCCACTTGTCATTACTGCTTAGTCTGCCGGACATTTTTATTTTTTTTTTAATGGCATATTGAACCTTTTGCATATTTATTGCTCCATGCCGACTTGCTGCTGACAAAGAAATGGTCTGGTTTTGGTTCTTGTGCTGAGGAGCATTTTGTTGGATATACTTTATAAGGACGTCATTTTAGCTCGTATTCTAGGTTGACTGCACAATCTGCATGTTACTTGAGTTGTTAACCTCAGTACTGACGCTTTGGAATTGTTAGTATTGGATTTGTAGCCAATTGTAGGCTTTGGTATCTGATGTAAGTTTGCTCTTTTTTTAATATCTCAGGATCACTTAGCACTAATGATGGAACTTCTGGGCATGATGCCTCGGAAGGTAAAAATAAATACTGTTTTCTTTCATTTCTAAACACTTGTGTGCATTACAATCATGACTTACTTCAATGTGGGCCGTGAGTCTCAGATTGCACTAGGGGGCCGTTACTCCCGAGATTTTTTCAATAGATATGGTGATCTGAGGCACATCCGTCGATTGCGATTTTGGCCCTTGAGCAAAGTTCTCTTGGAGAAATATGATTTCAATGAGCAAGATGCCAATGGCATGGCTGACTTTTTGGTTCCTATTCTCGACTTTGTTCCTGAGAAACGACCAACAGCTGGTCAGTGCCTTCTGCATCCATGGATGAATGCTGGTCCTTGCCTCTTGGAGCCGTCAGTGCCATCTTCTAATCACAATTCAGCTGCGGATGGTGCTGCTATTTCTGACCAAAAGAAGAAGGACAAGGACGAGAGAGAGGCCATGGAGGCGGGGATGGGAAATATTGCCATCAATTCAGACTCTAAACCGCACACAGATTTATTGGCGAAAGCCTGTCAAAGCAGTCAGAAGTAGTTGATCTAGCCAAAATCCTCCTGGTTGTGCATCTTGGGAACTTATTTATTCTTATAACAAATCAACGTAACTCAATGGTCTAAACAAGTTGGTTATTCTTTTAGTATTCTCACGGTGTAAGAATGTGTTATCTTGTGCCTTTCTTCTGCAACTTATGGTAACTCAAAGATGGCCGTTTGTTACCACGGACTTGTTTGTCAACGGTATTCATTCTCTTTTTCCCTTTGCTCTGAACGCTGTCCTTAATATCAAGACATTAGAGCCGGTAATTCGGGCGGGTCGGGCTCAATTCGGGTCAAGCTTATTTGGATCGGATTTAAAGAATCATACTCTTTCTAAAAAGCTCATATAGCCAAGCCCGGTCCTAACGCTTTCGGGCTTCGGGCTTATTCGGACCGGCCCGAATACCCGAGACTTTTTTTAAAATATTTTTTTATTTTTAATCAATTTAAATTTTTAAATAATTTTATTAAGCATAACATATTATTTTAACTTGAAAGGAATAAAAAAATAATAACTTATCAACTTTATAGTTAAGTATTTAAGTAGCTTTGTTACTGTTTTGTTGTATTATGTGCAATTTATTCATGAATATTTTCTTTACTTGTAAATTAATGTCTTATTTATTTAAATATTGCCCTTATCATAGTTATATAAAAATATTTATATATTTTAATTGAATCATATTATTTTAATTATGATCAAGTTAATCTCAATTCAACTACGGTTAAACCATTAATTTAAAATTATTGTCCTGATTAGTTTAAAGTTTTTAATAACTATTGGATAAACTATTTTTTATTTTTAAAAATATAAAAAAAATAATCGTCATTATATTATATAAAATAAAATTATTTAATTATGAGCAAAATACTATTTTTTTGAATTTTTTTCTTTAAATATTTTACATTGTTTAAGTCCTATATACAAAAAGTATTTACTTTAATTCATTCTTAATTTTTAACTAAGTCTGGCGTGAATAATAATCAAATAATTATTTAAAAAATTATTTTATTTATTATGTTGTTTAGTAGTAAAGTCAAAAATTCGTACATATCCAAATTTTATTTTTAAAATTATTTTTAATTTAAAATTAATTATTTTATTTTATAAAAAATATAAAATATAATTTTTTGGACAAGAAAATGGTTTATATGACTCACTTTTTTTCAAAAAAAATTGAGTCTTAAAATATAAAAATTAATATTAAAATATATTTTAATTATTATTATGAGATATTTTATTTGATTAAAAATAATAAAAAATGGGAAAATATAAATATTTTCATTTTTTTAAAATAACTATAGTAATACACTCAAATATACGGTATTTTAAAATAAAATGATATAAAACTTGAAAAATAATTAATATTTATTATATTATATATTTTTTAAAAAAATTATTTTTTTTCTATTCGGGTATTCGGGCCAAGCCCAAACCCGATCGGGCTTGGTCCAAATTTTCTCAGGCCTATTCGAGCAGCCCAAATAGGCTCGAACAATAAAAAAATATTATTTTTTGGGTTCGGGCCTAAATTTTTCGGGCGGGTTAGGGCTGGCTCGTCAGGCTTAGCTCAAATTACCGGCTCTGCAAGACATTCTATAGATCTTTCAAGCAATCATTGGTTGAAACATTTTCTGATATTTTCATGATAGCTCCTTAAAATCAGGGGCGGGCAATTTCATTAATGCAGGCAGGGTCATACAGAAAACATAAAATCATTTATTCTGGACATTTAACTTACTGGTAAACATTCAGGTCCAAAAAAAAATGGTAAATGTTTGTAAAGCGGTTTCTCTGTCTATAATATCTCTGCAACGGTTTGGTGCAGATTTGGGTATACTAGCGGACGTTGGGTGTCATGGCGGGATTTTCTTTGCCCTGTTAGAAGTTATTTTGGGAACTGGAATGTGGCAAGTGAATCTCTCCTTGGCAAAATAATGGCAATATATTTTTTTTTGAAGAAAAATGGCAAGCCGAAGCTTGAAGCAGTTTAAACAGTGCTAGGCATATCAAAAACTAGCAAATGCAAACAAAACACAGGGCACATATGTATGACACAAATATCCTTTCCTTCAATGTGAGCATTTCTGGCAATTAGATCCGCACATCTCAAAATGTCTTTGGGCATATGTTGAATCGTGATCCCCCAATCGCTATAGAAAAGAACTCTAATCTCCCCAATCAGATCATGTAGTGGATGAGAATGGCTGCTATCTCGAAAGATAATGTTAACAACCTCTAAAGAGTTAGAACACACCTATATATGTTTAAACCCCTATTGATGACAAATATGTAGTCCTGTTTTGATTGCTAACATCTCTGTATGGACAATAATAGTTGTTCCAATAGCTTTCTGAAAACCAAGAACCTAATTCCCTTGCTCATCATGCAAGATTCCTCCACACGCTGCTTCACCAAGTTGATTAACTGAGGCATCCACATTTAATTGATATGTGCTCGAAGGAGTTGGATACCATCCATCAGTTTTGATGGGTGATTTGTAGAAGATTCCATGTTGATACTTCAAATCAGCAAAGTCCTCTAAAATATGAAACATGCTCTTATGTATCACATCTTGGTTATTGGTGGTCGTCTCCTCAAATAATCTGTTGCATCTTGTTCGCCATAAGTTCTAGCAAACGTGACAAAAATTGTGATCCATGGCTACCTTTGGAATCTTTTCTTCCCTAGGTCATTTTGAGTATTCCTCTTGAGCCAAACCTGCAAGTCATCAGAAAAGAGAGCAGATAGATTGTTAGGGCTAACAAAAGTTTTTCACACAGTGTTTGCCATCTCACAGTCTCTCAAAATGTGTATAACACTCTTCACAACCACAATCGAAGGCGCATAAAGAGTCAATAGTAAGGCCTCTTTTAGCTTTGAGTGAGTTCGTAAGTATTCTCTCATGGGAAACTTGTTAAAGAAAAAATTTTATTTTCTCCAGGAGAGGCCATTTCCACAACTTCTTCAACAAATTCTCAGTGGTTCTACTATTCTGATGATTAATAAAGTTATAAGCAGACCTTGACACTAAAGTTTCCATCATTTTTTTGTCTCCATTTGAATATATCCTCATTATCCTCATGATTAATAAAGGGGGAAGAATATTTCTCCAGGAGGCCACATTCCATTGGCCATTAGGAAGCACATGATGTCTAACCAAATCAGATTGATTGATTCTAAAATTGATTCTATCAGCATAGAAGGATAGAGGGTATTTTGACGTTGTCCACCTTTCCTCCCAAAATTTAATATTAAGTCCACTAGCCAATCTTTTTCCAACTCCTTGTATAAAATCTTCCCAAACAGTAGTGATAGCTCTCTAGGTTAAAGAGGAGTTTCTTCTTTTTTTGATGATTGGATAGTTTGCATCACTACAGCCATATTTTGTTCTTCAGCATTTGACCCAAAGAGTCTTCTTATCGTTGAAGATTCCCTAACATAATTTCATAATAAAAGTTAGATTCTACTTATGAAGATCTTTGATACCCAAACCGCCCTATTCTTTAGTTCTTTTGATTGTTTCCCAAGAAATAAGATGCATTTTCTGCTTTGATTCCTCTTAGCTCCATAAAAAATTCCTACTAATCTTCTTAATATCATGTAGGATACCCTTAGGTAGGAGCATGGTTTGCATAAGTTAGCACTGTAAAAAGGACAAGTTTAATCAGCATTGTTCTTCCAGTTGAAGAAAGTGTTTCTTCAAAGACGAGAGCTTTTTACTAACCTTTGTAATTAATAGGAGAAAGGTCAGATTGGTTACCTAAGTATGTATGAGAGGGACACCAAGATACTTCCCCAGATCATTAGTAAGCCCAATACCAAGTAAGTGACTAAGCTCTATGGCTTGGCTAGGTGGAACATTCTTAGAGTGGAACGTTTTAGACCTTAAAAGATTGATCTGATGGCTGGAGGCTCAATAGAAAATCTCTATAGCTTCTCGGACTATCCTCATTCGGTTCTTTGAAGCTTCTACAAAGAGAAAAAGATCATCCGTAAAGAATAAATATGAGATTGAAGGATTGTATGAGGTGAATTTGAAGGGCTTCCAACTACCATTTCTACAAAGTGCTTTAGTGAGTTGACCTAACCTCTCCATATATAGAACAACTAAATACGGGCTTAGAGGATCACCTTGTCTAACTCCCCTAAATGGGGCGAAGGGTTGAGAACTTTCCCTATTCCAAAGTATCTTCATAGAAGTTGAATTAATACAGGTCATTATTAACCTAATGAAATGAGGATCAATTTTAAGACTAATGAGAGCAGCTTTAATGAATCCCCAATCTAGTCTGTCGTAAGCTTTTTCCATGTCCACCTTAAGAGCAACATATCTTTTTCCCAATTTCTTATTTCGCATAGAATGGAGTATTTCCTGAGCTATGATGATGTTGTCATAGCCTTGTCGGCCTGTTAGGAAGCTACACTATTCAGGTCTGATCAACTCATTCAAGATGGGATGCAATCTATTTGCAATAAGCTTAAGAATGATTTTGAAACTTACATTGCAGAGAGAGATTGGTCACAATTCTTTTAGGGTAGAGTAGATGGATGTTCTACCTTAAGAATAAGTACTATATTCATTTGATTCAAATCTTTAACCTTTTCTGGTTCAATAAAGACTTTTTTGACCTTTTGTGCACCTTTTCTCCAACTTGATTCCAGTGAGAGTGGACAAAATGTGCTTGGAGCCCATTAAGTCTAAGGGCTTTGAAAGCTCCCATTGAGAAGGCCACATTCTTAATTTCAATATCATTCACCATTCTCTTAATATTATTTAGATCATCAGTAAAAATATCTGAAAATCTTGTTGGCCAATCAAAAATAGGGGCAACCGTGATGTCTTTGATATAGAGGTCCTCGAAAGAAAGTGCTAGCCAAAGTCATCAATCTATCTTTATCATCAATTCAATTTCCATTCTCATCTTGAAGAGTTTCAATCTCCTTTTTTTTTTTTTTAACATTGCAGGACAAATGAAGCATGAAAAAAAATTGTATTTCTATCTCCATTTGAGCCAATTGCATCTAGCTTTTTGATGCCACAACAATTCCTCTTGAGCATTTAATTTATATTGATCCCAAAGCTATTTCTTCAGTCTAAAAAGCCCATTACGTTGGTCCATTCTATGAGCCTTGTCAATGCCTTCTGGACTTCTTCCTGGGCATAGCAATAAAAATGATTAGATTTCCAAACAGTA